TCGCACTCTAGCTGAGCTCAAAGATCGTTTTCGTACATTTCTCTCTAAACTCCCTGAAAATGAACTAGAAGAAATCGATAATGTAAAAAAGTTTGTAGAAGTATTGGAAGAACAAGGTGCTATCGGAGCAAACGATGTGAAGTTATTAAAAGTGTTAGCTAAGAAGATTGGATTAGATGAGCTGAAGCAAAAAGTTGAGGAATACGAAGCGGATTGTGCAGGTAATGTAAGGAGAAGTTCAGTCAAGAACCATATTAAGTAACAATCCAGTTATCTTATTCATAGAATTTGCTTATCAAACACCTTTTAACCTAGATATTTTTTATAAGCTAGGATATTCAACTTCAGAAGGGTATTCTTGTTGACAAGATACTGTATTCTCAAGGACATAGAATCAAAGTAATGAAAAAAGAGGTGCATGCATCTCTGGAGGAGAGGGGAGAGGGGACTGCCATATTAAAAGGTGGGGATGCTTGTCRGAAATTTTAAGAATGACCCCTGAAAGGTACCTGAGTCTGTTCCAGTGAGCATAGCAATTACTAATGATTTTTACCCAATGTACCAAACGCTCATTTTTTTATTTTTTTATATCTATAAGTACGAAGTGATAGTCAGATGATGAACCAAAAATTATATTCTGAATGCATTAGTATTGAAAATCCAGCTTACATTGCTGAGCTAATATCAGATATCTCTCAGTATTGCCTGTAAAACACCCTAAGAGGTACCAGAGATACCAAATTTCAGATCTATATTAAATTTTGAACCCTAAAAGGTTACCATGACCATTTCTTTTTTTCACTGTAGAAAACCCCATCCCTAGCTCCCCACCCCCCTTCCTGTGATGCATTAAATTAAACACACAGTATGTAAATTATATCAATTATATGTGCACCAATTGCCTAACGCTTTCACAGTTGTATAGCAATATTCAATTGGCTGACGAGGGAATGGAGAGTTTGTACTTCTAGCATTGACATTTTTAAYATTAACCCAATACCAAAAAATACCATGACTTGAAAGAGCATGTTATTATTTTGTTAGTAAAAGTTAAGAGTTTGAAGAATATGCTGCTATGATCTAGCACCTGAGTTGGTGACCGTAGCAGATTAATCAGATACATTTACAGTAAATTTAAAACTCTAGACAAGAACAATACATGCTTGGGCTGCCCATGATACAAACGTATAGGTTCTCATATTTTTATTCATATTCTTTCAGGAATATTCAGGAAAACACTAAATGGTAATTATATGATGACAATTAATTAATTTATTAGTTTCTGAGTTATACCTAGTTTAATTGTTGTCTTATATTTTTACTTTTTTTTAAATATTGATAATTGACTTCTTATTTTTCACAGCTGCAAAAAGAGCTCCAGGTGGGTAAAAATACATGTATTTTATGGCTGGTGCATTTAATTGATTTCTGGTACATGTCATATA